TTGCAGCCCCAGATTTAACGTGACTCACCTAATTCCACACAAGTGCAACCAACTGATGCTAAGAGTCACACAATAGGTTAAATGAGTGCAATGAATGTGTCTCAAGTATAAATAGTATAAATATACCTATATCTGGAAGATCCAGTCAATAGTGAATCAGTCTCAATAGTGATAAATGGTGTCATTTGGGAGATTTTTCTACTGATGACATGTTTCAGACCTGCCAATGGGGTTCAGAGGGTTAAGTTGCTCCTGATGGAAAGTGACCTTTTCCTGTTGTGACTGCTTCAAGTTGAAAAGCTTTCCACTGACAAACTGGCAGGATGCTTTGATTTTAAAGTTTGAGGAAATTCAGCTAGCGGCGCCATTCTTCAATAAAAAATAGGCTGATCCACCATATATGGACATGATCTGCACCATTTGGTCAGTGAGTCTCACAGGGAGGAAGAGCACAAACATCAGGACAAACAGCTCTACCTGGTTGTGCTGTGCAGTGGGATTAACACTCACACCATGCCAGCGTGGCTCACCTGCTCGGAGTCACTTACAGCAAAGCTCACCGCCCTCAATGTAAAAACTAAACACAGTCTGATGATGTTTCTTACCTCTTTCAGTGCCACCACTCCCACCAGTTTGCCGATACTGGTCACATAAGCGTGGCTGAGGCCGAGCAGCGAGAATAACGTGTGGGTCTGTGGAGACAGAGTGAAAAGGTCACTCATCAAATGATGACAAGCTTCTACTTCTCCGTCCAGGACGGCCTTTTTACAGACGATTTACGGGCCCTGTGCTTCTCTGTCAGCTCTGTCTAGACACAGTGTCACACGGGCAGAAAGATGAAAGCAACCTGGCTCCAGGCTCTGGGTGAACCACAGGAAAGTCCTTCAGTGTGTTTGCATGCGACTCCTCTGTTTGTAATCCGGCTAAGGTCACACTTTGGATGAGCTCTTTGTATGCATCAGCACACCTCCATCACAAGGCCCATTTTGCACATGAATAAGCAGAATATTCGGAATATTACCATGACAATGAAATCACGTTGATGACAAAAAAAAAAACATAACAGTAATGGTACAAGGTGTTTACACGCTTCAGCATCCTGCTAATATCTGGAAAGCCTGTATCACCTTTAGATTTATTATAATAAGGATGTGAGCGAGCTACAGCGATTACACAGAGCAGGAAATGAAATAACATTGAAGAAAAGTGTATGTTCAACACTTAACATTATCAAGATATTGTTAAAATCCTCAATCTGTGCAGGTGGAACACAGTTAAGACAACTGTAGGTGTGTCTCAGTTAAAAGGTCGGAGTTCTTAATGTTTGTTCGCATCATGTGTTCTTAGGTTTAAAGGGAAAAGATCAGCAGAGAAGAAGAGAGCAAACGCACAACATCATAAATAAGACTCAAGTCGTTATGTGCATCGTTTTAGGAGTTCAGCGAGTTCGTGTCAGTACAATCAAGACATTTAAATCTAAAGAGTGCCATAGTTTGGACAGAGTTCACCTTTTGATGAATTCGCTGCTGTCTGATGCTGCAGTTATTTAATTAACACTAAGGAAAGACTCCTACAGACAGCTGAAAGCGACAAACTAAACTTCGGTTCTTGTTAAGGTTTTCTCAAAACCTGGAATATCCATCCATCCATCCGTTAACTATACACCGCTTAGTCTTCACTAGGGTCACGGGGGGCTGGAGCCTATCCCAACCGAGTTAGGGCGAAGACAGGGGACACCCTGGACAGGTCGCCAGTCCATCGCAGGGCCACACTTAGAGACAGACAACCAAGCGCACTCACATTCACACCTACGGACAATTTAGAATCACTAATTAACCTCAACATGTTTTTGGACTGTGTGGGAAGAAGCCGGAGAACCCGGAGAGAACCCACGCTGCACGGGGAGAACATGCAAGCTCCACGCAGAAAGATTCCGGTGCCCCCACCGGGACGCGAACCGGCAACCTTCTTGCTGTGAGTGCTAACAGTGCTACCAACTGCGCCACCTTGCAGCCCCCAACCTGGAATATATTAATTTAATTTTTCTTTGTTTTTTTTTTTGAACATTATAGTTTGTAATATTAGTAAAATNAGGGGGTAAGGAGGGGGGAGACTGGGGAGCCATTTCAGGCGAGGGAGAGGAAGGGGAGGACGGGGAGGAGGGAGCAGTGGAAGTAGAAGGCGGAGGTTTAGAGACGGAGTTGTGATTGCTGATGTCGCGGAAGCTGGCCAGAGGAGGGCGGAGCCGGACGCCGGAGCGAGTGGAGCCCTCGATGGCCTTCTGGAGCTGGAGGAGGAGGAGCAAGAGGAGGAGGAAGAGATGACTAAAGATCAGTTCAGTAAAGGAAATTAGAAAGAGAGATTTGTGAGGGATTGAACGGATGGAGGGAAAAGTTAAAACGAGGCAACACAAGAGCAGGAGGCGATGGGTAGAGACAGAACGAATGAAGTAAATCAAACATACACAGACGTTATTGATTATGCAAACAAAACACTCATACATAATTCAAAAAGCTTTATGAGACTCCGAGCAAATTAGAAACCAATTGGATTTTTTTTTTCTTTCTACAAAGTCAAAACAGACAAGAGAAGACTTCTAAAAGTTGAGTGCATTAAAAGAGAGAGAGAGCGAGAGAGAGAGATTTGTTGTTTTGGAGGGGGGCTTAGATCAATGTGAATTTAATTTCATTTACTGCTTAGCTTCTTGGTTCTGGGTGACCTCCAGACAGTTTTGGGGTTTTTCAATTAGCATGGGTTTGTCTGCTCTGGCCAAGCTGTGATGAAGTGTTTTCCGCTACAGGCTGCTGTTCAGCTTGGTAGGAAGGACTGACTACACCCACAGCTGACTGTCTCCATCCATCAGCTGTGTCCTCAGCAGCTAAACTTTAGTCTGTCTCTGCTGGAGACAAGAGAAAAAAAAGTTGCTTTTCATTATGCTAACTTACAGTGCCCACAAAAAGTATTCACTCAGGTTTTTCCTTTTTATTGCTTCTCAACACTGAATAATGGCCAATTTAATTTGGCTTTTTGACAAGAATCTACAAAAAAAGTACCATTTTGTGTCCAGATTTCTACAAAGCAATGCCAGATAATTAAAATAGAAACTGTAAAATTGAAAGCTTCAATGGCTAAATAACTATT